ATGTGACCATCTTAGCATTCATTTAATTATTCCCCAGACATTTGTGTCATCAGACATATGTCCAATAGATCAGTTAATATTATAATGATAGCTTTGTTTGTGATATTCATTTTTTAACACCCATCCAGAATATGTGTGACAAGGGCACTGCATGCATGTGAAAGTTTTATATAGCATTAAATTCAAATGTCTAGAATCTTAGGTTATGTAGTATTACATGTACAATGTAGGTGAGTAGATGGAGCAGAAAGTATCAGTCTTAGAGCAAGATGATCTATTTTCAGATCAGATTGTTTGGGTGCAAGTCTATTTTCAGATTAGGATTGTTTCTCCGTCAATTGCTAGTTTTTGTGCAGTTTTGTAAAAAGATCTCTTCAAGTTTGTTGCAAAAGAGAAATTCAATGCTGTGTATAACAGTTTTCTTTTTTAAAATGTTAAGAAGACATGAGTCATCTCCCTCTTTTCAGGTTATTACACAATGTCTAAAGAAAATGGTGGATTGGTCAATGACCTTAACATTTCAGGCACATTGTCTTCTATACTTACCTTGACATTGCCTAGGTCTATAGTCGAGCAGTAAAACCCAAGTCAGACCCAACTATCACATTTCATGTTGAACAGCTCAGCTATTCATGCATCTGCATACAAAAGGTCAAACGGAGTTCACATTTGAATAGTCAGTCAGAATTAAGATGTGACACTAATGCTTTATTTCGATGTGACTTGCACTGCAAATATGTCAAAGTAGTTCAAATATGAGGATCTAATATGTTAGTATAGACTTAACAACCTCAACATATTGCGGTTATAATATATATTAGTTACTGTTTAAAGTAAGCACCACAATCTACAATTTCACATTCCATATTCCGATCATGGATGTTTTGGCATCAGCTTTGTGGCGGTCTGTGTTTTCCACAATACGTAATATTCAAAAGACTCAACAGTATCAAGTGCTGAATGTTTATAGAACCTTATGAATGTGTAAATGACTTGCATTTTTATTTTTCAAAAGCCATCTCATTAGCAACATTCACATAATTGAAATGAGAAAAGCCAAATGTATCAGATACTTCAGTTCAGTCATACAATAAACTTTAATCTTTCTTCTGCTGCCTATTCCCACATTCAAACAAATATCCTTGCTTATTTGATACCAAAAGGTGAAAATACATAATGTTCTGGGTCTTGAAATTTGAATAATGAAAGTTGCCAATTTTTACAACTTTTACAAACTCAATTGACAAAACTCAACCCCCAGATTCCATTATGCAGCATTTGGTTTCAGCTTGTCCTTAAGTATAGAAAGACTGGTTGACTGTAGAAAAAGTTAGCTGTTCCTGATTACACCTAGCATTTGTCTTTAGTTAGTAGAACATGATTGTATGTTTGGTAAGGACATGAAACAGTCTTTTAAAGACTGTTGGAGATAGGTCACCTGGCATTCGACAATGGGACCCTGCCGATAGTTGGGTGCAGTATTTATCCCAAAATAGACGTGCCGTCTCACCTGGTAAAAGTATAGCTCCCCGTGGGTAAAGAAAGTAAAACTGATGTAAACACTAGACCTCCTGTGTGGTGAAATGTGGCATATCTTGCTGAGTTTTCTATTTTCCATTTGGAGTTCACAAGTGGTATTTAGGGGGACAGAGCAACAGGCAATTGTCTTATACAGTAGCAGTTGCAAGGTGAGACTAATTAAGTAAGACTTTATGTGTTCAGGCTATTAAAGGTAGCAATATTAATGAAGATACCATAAAAGTATGGAGTACTTCCTCCTCTTTCTTGTAATTCTAAGTTAAGACATAAAAAGTTCCTGAGTTCAAGACTTCCTGTCTACTCCTACACAATTAGGTTCTGGAGCTTCATAGAAACAGACTTTGGTTTGATGATTGATGAGTAGGCCTATATACAGTAACTGTAAAACAGAGGAAGTGCTTTGTTTCCTGTTACTTTTATGTTGATGAATGGTCCTGTACCACAATATTAAGGGTCCAGTATGAAAGACATCCTACTAGGAGACATCCTCCTTAAGGATCTATTCTTGGAAACCGAACTCAGCTTGACTAGTAAATGTAGGAAGTCTTCTGTCAAGTTTTGAGCACCATGACTGCAAATATCCTTGCCACTGCCAACAGAGTCCCCACAGTTTTATTTTAGGGCTCATCAAAAAGTCGGTGCAGAATTCGAAGAGTGCCCAGAACTGGTTGACTATAAGGATTTTTTGGAAACTGATATCAGCATGGCATGGTCTATAAGAATTCAGGAACATTGTCTAAGTTACATTTTATAGCTGTTCATGTTCAAAGGTTGAAAAGTACCATGCAAGAAGTTGAAAAAGAGCCAAGTGACTGAAGAAAAACAAGACTAGCTTTATTTATAGCAAATCTATACAGAAAGCTGAATACATAGAATAAGTAGAAGCGGCTACATAAAACAGGCCTCTACCTTGGCCCAACTCTGTAGGAGGTATTAGCTGACTTTGACGCTGTATTGATTCCAGGGTAATTCTTTTCACTTAATCGTTGGCAAGCCGGCGAGGCTTAGCAAATATTGACCGAGTCTTTCTGGCAGTTTGTACACCGATACCGCTGATCCCACCTTGTGCCCGTGTAATGACATTAGTTTGGGCCATGCGCTGAATTTTCCACTAGAGGGCACTGGATTATGTACAATAGGGGTACCCCCTAGGGCGGAGTGGGCCGGTGAAATATTATAGCATAAAAGCTTACATAGGCCGCTCATGCATACATAACTAGGGGGCTCGGCTGGTGGAAAAGCAGTTACAGTATGCATTGTTCTAGGAGCAAGCTTGGTGAAAAAAGGGAATCTGAACTCTTGTACTACTGCAAACAGGTAACTTTTCACTGTCTTTTCATTATGAGTATATAGCTGGTATTGGAACAGACTACTTTACTGTACTATAAGATTATCATTGATTTGATGCTACAGTAACTTGAATGTTAGGCAGTTTAAAGGTGTAGAACTGTTATTGAAGGCTTTAGGATACATGACACCTGATGTAGGTTATGAGAGGCGTTAAAGATTTCTAAGGAATTTTCAGCTGGAATTTTCGGAAAAGTGACTTAAAGATTCCCAACTTGTAGATAGCTTATTATGATCATTAGAATGAGTGAGATTCTGTGAGAACATGCTTTTGAAGATTCAGAAGCATTTTTCAAAATGCAGTGGGAGTTTATGCATGGCTGTGCATATCATCTCTGAGTTACCAGCAGTGGCAAATGTGCAATGTATTTACCAAGTGGCAGTCAGAAAGGGACTAACATTTCTCCAGAAATTAACCTCTCTTTTTTTAGATACATGCCTCAGTGTATTCTGCACAGAGAAGGTTTAGTTCATAGATACACCACTGAATTTACAGTTCTTAAATGTTTTTAAGATACTTAGAATACCTGGTGTAACTGATATACCTTAAAGTTCTTTTTTGTGTAGAGGCTGACAAAATCTAAGCTGATTTATAGCTTATAAGAAAATCACATGAGAACTTAATGCACATAAGGAACAGTACTAGAGGTTGTTTACTATAAATTTAAAGATAAAAGACTGTATTTCCAAAAGCCTGGTTAAGAAATATGAAATCCTTCTATGGAAAAAGACAAAACCATTACTGTAAACACAATCTGAAAGGAAGACCTAAAGAAAGAGATGAAGGTCTTAAGTTTTCAAAATATTTAGTTCTGACAATAGAATAGTATTTTAGTTAATATTTGCTGACACAGAACTCCTTACAATTATTGTAGTATTGATTGAAAAGTAGACTTTGTCAACAGCTTTGATTGAATAGTAGGCTCTGTGATCCATGCAAAAGTTCTGTATAAAGGTGATAAAGATGTTTTCTAGATGAAATATTGAGTAGTCTGATTGTATTCTAGGCCTTTTCATTCTAAGATTGTAACTGAAATGGAGCACACTGGAGATTTAAAGAAATATCAATTGATTGGCTTAAGTTAATGTGTGACAGTTCAACATTGATTCAAGAGAATTGTGAAATTCAACTTCAAGTTCAATTTTAAAATTAGATTTTAAAAGGTGATAGAAAAATTCACTATATCCTGTTTCAAGCAAATCTGGAGATGTGGACCATACTGGCCACTGATCAGATGTGCTTATACACACCATTAACGATAATCATTACTTGTCGGTCAATATTCATTATTGACTGTCGTGATCTCTAATATGTAAGGTAATATTGACCATTGTGATCTCTGATATGTAAGTTAATATTTACCCGATACATGTAATTTTGCTGTTGGACGAAATTGCTTTTGCCCAGGACACGTAGTCCAAATGATTTTATGGTACTGCCATTGGTGACGCTATCCAGAGAGAGCAGTCATTAAAAGTACTATTGCCATTTTAAATCAAACAGATTTGTTTGCTTTACCCATGGTCATTGGTAGCAGTTAGATAAGTGAGTTTGAACAAAAATCCAGTAGCAGACACGATGTCTAGCCCTGCATTACTTCTGCTGGGTTCAAAAACAGCTACTGTTGTTGTGAAACATGCTAAAACCTTTGAAGAACCTATTGTATGTAAATATTTTCAGGTTGTCATGGCAATCTTTGCCTTTAAGCTTCGGCATGCGCTGGCGGCAACTCCACTCTTTCATATCAGCAATTTTGCTTATGGATTATTCTGAGCCTGATTTATGGGTTATTGCATATATGGCAAACTGCCAGATGTTGAGACACACAAGATTTGAACTTGGAAAGTGCAGTCTGCAGTCTGGGTAGGGAACTAGTTGGTTTATGACCATTGCTCTCAGGCACGTAGTACATTAAGTGTAGCAGATTCTTGAATGTGCTTGAGGCATTGCTCTAAATCAAATGTAAGGCTTCTAACCTTTGAAGGACTATAGCTACATGTGCAGTACCACTGGTTGCACTCAAATTCTAAAGGTTAGGAACAGATTCAATCATACAGCCATGTATGACTGTGATCTAATTAATGTTCTTACATTGTTTTTTTCTTTCTTGCAGGTGTTTTGAAGAGTTCCTAATGTGAGACGTTGTACCAGTCCTTTCTACTGGTGGGCAGACATGGGATGAAGGGGGAGGTTTTCTGTAGGGCGGAATTCTACACCGTGTTAACAAAGGCTGAAGATCCCTGCTGAAATGGCTACCAATAGCCCACATATTCACAGGCAAGAGGCCATGAAGTGGGAAGGACCATCCACGTCCACTTCTGGAGTGTTAGTTTCGAGTGGTGGGACAAACCGGCTGCCCACGGCCAGTCCTGAACAAACACGCTCACAACAGGTCAAGCATTCGTCCAGCATTGCAACAAATACGGCAGGAATGTCTCACATGCAGACAGAAATGCATGTTCTAAGGAATGGTAGGCAACATTCAGACACTTCGTATATACCGGCAGCAATAGACGGACCATCGGCAAAGAAGAGCTTGGAAAAACTGCGCCAGATGAGACAAAGACTACACAGTGATGAAGACCTGAAGCCCAACAGTTATACTGCTGACAAGGCCAAACATCCCAGGACACTCAGTGATGGAGCTAACAGGAGACACACTACACCCCAGGCTGTCAACATTGTGCATAACTCACACCACAGTCTATCTAAAGGCCAATCTACGCAATTCAGATCACCAGAGGTTTCCCCTTCTGCTATTGCCAACTCAAGAAACAGATTTTCGTTTGAGAGAGGGTCTATGTCTCCTAACTTCTTCAACTCAAGACAAGCGTCCCTTGACTTTGACGTTAACTCAGAACCCGTGTCAAGAATTTCCACACCAATAAGTGTGGACACACCTCCTGTTTCAGCAAGCACGTCGCCTGTTACATCATCAAGGCTGGAAGAAGTCATGCAAGATGGTGACACGAGTGGTGAAAGCATGTCTTACAGAAAGTTGTGGCAAAATCGGTCCATGAGGAAAAAGTCTCCTCATCTCCAGGACCCAAAGCCCCCTCCTCAAGACAATGGATCAGGAAAAGTCTTCAAGAGGGGTGAAAGCAGCCCAACATTCTTTTCGGGAAATGTTACAACAGACAAGCAGCTGTCAACACAAGACAAAGAAAGGCAGGCCGACGGAAGTGCTCATGTTGACCAGTCTGAAAGTCACACAATTTCAGAACATCTCGATGCAGGTTCATCGTTTTTCCGTAGATCTACAGAAGGCAACTCTACAAGACGGTCACTACGGGCTAAATACCCCAAAGCAATGCAGCATATTCCCTCGTTCAACGAATTCCGAAGGATGAGAAAGGAAGGACATGTCAGTCCTAGCGCAAAGTTCTCCAGCACATTGTTTGGTCCAGTGGAGGAGAATGAAGATTGCTGTAGTGTTGCTGAAAACACAGAAAAAGATAAGGAGTCTGAGAAGAGAGTAAGAGACATGGCAAGGAAGGATATTGCAGAATCGTCTATCTCTGTGGCTCATAGTAACCACAGGAAGGAATCCAGAGAAACAGCTGTTACAGAATCTGGTCCTCAGGATGTCTTACCAGATATGCAAGCTTCACATGACAAGAGTGAGGAGTGCAGCAGAGATGGGGGAAGGTCTATTCTGTCCATCTTGTCTACGTACTATGCAAAAGAAGGGACAAGGTTGGAGGATGTGTCCAAGGAGAATCAGGATGTTACCTCTAGACACAACAGCTCTGCAGCACAGAATGGAGCTTCAACTCTTCTTTCTCATAATGGTCATTGTCATGAGAGAAAAGCTAAAGATGTCCAACAACACACAAACGAGTATCAGACATCAGCTTGTCATCCATCTTTGATTCAATTTGAATCAAATCTTAAAGACAGTCATATACCTGAAAGGCAGGGTGCATTTTCCAACATGAAGGAGGACTCTTTCTCGAACATAGTAGAAAAGGAATTGTCAGGAAACCTTCAAAGTCAAAGACATGGCAAGCCCAACTCAGAAGCATTGTTGCACAACCTTTCAGGTGAGAAAATCTGTAGAAAAGCAAGCAATGAAGTCATTCCCAAACTTGATTTGGCATATCTCAATGAAGAAACCAACACGGAGAAACTCTCAGTGTCACCCAGGACTGAAGCTAAAACTCCTGAAAAGCAGGTCAGACATGCCCATGTAGCAGAGAATTGTGTGAACCATTTACCGTCCAGGGACAGATCTGTCAAGGATTCAAAGAAGGTTTCAGAAGTAAGTCTAGACGCTGCTGGAAGGAAGGACTTAGGACAGAGTAAAGTCCAGGAGAGTAGAGACAACAACAGAAATGCTGTGAAGGAAGACTTAAGAGGTGCTTCTGCCTCTCAGACAAGATTACAGGGAGATCGAATGTTGCATGAAGACTACTCTGACACCGTTGAAGCTGTTAGCAGGACCGTTAGCCAGCCTCTCTGTAAACATGTCAACAATAAACACACCCCTGGCAGACCCCTGGAGACAAGAATTTCAAGCACGATGAGTGAAATGTCCTCGTCATGTTCTAAAGAAAGCCAAACATCACAGAAAACCTTTGTACATTCATCCCAAAACCACAGACACAGGACTGATGACTGTGGGTCAGAATCATCTCATATCAATGCTGAATCCAAGAGAGAAGCCACAGATGTTGCACCAGCTACAAAGGAAGTTCATTGCCCTCCTGCTAAAGAAAGCAGCCCTGTACAGGAACTAGGCCAAGCCCCGCCAGCCACAACAGAACAGAAAGAACCGTGTTATGAGAAAGTGGAAACGGATCCTGTGAGAACAAACTGTGACAGCTCAGACGGCAACAGTCCACACAAAGTGGGGGGTATGTCGCTGGTCACAGTTGAGTGGACCCTCCGCAGGAACAAGGGCTGCCTGGTGGAGGCAGTAAACAGTAACGAGGATTCTACAACACCTTATGTTTCAGCTAAGGATCAACTGAAGAGTTTGACCAGTTCTGAGAGCCCGTCTGGGAAGGTGTCGCCCCGTAGTTGGTACAGCCGCCACTGGTCCGCACCGATAACTCCTAAACCCATGTTAGAAACCAACCTGGCAGTCACAACCAGCGTGGCCAGCAATGACTCCAGCCCTGCCTCCACCCCTCGTGTCAAGAGGAAGCAGATCTTTGATGTCTGTATGGCTGTATCTGAGAAGTTACAGAGAACAGAACCTGACAAGGCTGAAGAGGTACAAGAGAGAACGTTCGCAAGTGACAGTCAACATCATCAGCACACTACAGGTCATAATGGCAATAGTCAGGTAGACTCTCAGCCAAACCTCTGTCAAGAGAAAATTGAGACCAGAACATCTTGTGAGGGTTTGACCACAACCAGATAAGTGTCAAAGAACTGACAACTGCGGTACACCATCTATGGAGAGTGAAAATAAGGTAGAAAGAAAAGATGGCACTGTCTTCCAAACAGTTCAAACTGAGAACAGAAGTTTCACAAAAACTGGAAACACTGCCATGTCACACACAGACTGCAATCCCAAAGAGACAGGTAGAACTGGTGAAGTTTGCTCTGACAGGGACAGTGTAGAAAACAGAGAGGGAAACATGTTAGGTGCAGAGAAGATGAGTATGTGGGGCTCCTTCATTGATGGAGATGGTGGTAGCAGAGACAGCAGTAGAAGGGGCAGTGGTCAGAGCTCTGACCAGAGCAGCAGTTCAGGAGACAACACACAGGTGTCCATGCCTGAGATACAACTGGTGTTCCAAGACAGCCCTGTTCATCAACACAAGGAGTCTTCAGAAGAAACTGACCAAGACTGTGTGTTTGACTTGACTGCACTCGTCAAACAGGAGCAAGGAGAAGGCATCAAAATCCAGGCAAATGATCACAAAGAAGTACTCTATGGTGATAACAAGAAGAAATCTTCATCAATTGAGTGTAATAACACAGACGAGAGAAAAAGACAAGGAAAGTTCCTCCCCAAGTCATGGAGTGCTGACATGGAAAGATGGACAGATGCAGACAAAACTTGCAATCATGATGAAAGTACAGTACAGGATGGAAAAAATGTTGTAAAGCAATCTTCAAAAGACAGAAGTAACAGCTATCGCAAGAGAGGGCTGGAAAGACAGAAACCTGTCTCCAGCACAAGCGAGGAACTCTTTGCCAGGAAGTACAAGGGTGAGAGGAAGAGCAGCACGGATGGGAACATGCCGTCAGAGAAAGGAAAGACTCCCAAACGTAGTGTCACATGGCACGCACTGGTCAGGACCTCAGAGGTTAAAACAGAGTCAAAGCAGAAGGTGAGTGTGGTGCTTTTGGTGATGTTGCTTACGTCCTATTGCCTTGTACATGCTTGTCTTGGGCACAGAGTGGATTAAACGGATGTGCTCAATTTCTGTGTCTCAAGGATGAATTAAGACGGAAGGTACAATAGTCTATCTTATGTGGAGCCATGTAGAAACGTTTCCTTAAACTTAAATGTGTGTTCCTGATGTTTAGCCCCAGAGTTCAGTGGCGAGGTCCACATCCGATGTGACCAACTCCAGCAGTAAGGAGAGCAGACAGGACAAGACTGCCCGTCCTGTGAGACAACACCACAGTGACCCCTCCTCCATGGCCCTGCATAGGACAAGGTCAGTCAAGAACTCTTTATCTAAAACTACACCTGTTCAATTTGATAGTTCTTGGATTTTAGGAACAATGGTGCACTGAAATCTCAAGAAGAAATGGGAAACTGTCTGAATTGAAAGTCTGCATAGATGTTATTTACATCTCCATTTGTAAGTTGTTGTTTTTTTCTTGTTCTAAAGAAACTGGCTACACAGACACCATGGTATGGAGGACCTGACCATAGTGGAAGGCGTCCCTGCTGATTCCAGTGACAAGCGAACCTCCAGGACCAAGTCCAAAAATCGCCATAGCAACGTGAGCACTGCCAGCGTGGACAGTGGGGTCATCGCCCTGGGAGACGAGAGGTCAATCATGGAGGTAAAGGTCAACTTTGACTATGTTAACTAAATCTTTATAGTGAGTGTGAAAAAATGAAGAACAGCACATACCAAACATATAGAATCATGTGTGTGCTTAGGAGGTAACTGAGGATGTTTCAGGAAAAGTTCCAAGTCCAAGTAATGCCTATATTTTTAGTTAACATGGTATTGCTATAATGTGTTTGGATCAGAAATGAATCACTGCTTGTTTTGTTCACAGAGAAGACAGTCTGCTGTGGACATTGCGAGGAACGACAGTGGGGTTGGCATGGAGACCACACGTGTCCCCCGCAAGACTCGAGAAACAACGGTAGGAAATCAACCTTAAGTTTCTTTTTAACTTGTTCAACTTAACATTCAAAATCTATGTGTGATGAATGATGATCTTGACCTTTCCATTTGAAATTCACTGTTCAAAGTTTGAATTAAATTTCTTTGTTTGTTCCAGGATGAGGCCAACTGTGCTGACTGTGAGAAAGTCAACACTGTTATCGATGTAGAAGAGGAAGAGGAATCACCCAGGTATGGAGTTTGCTTTACTTTATAATAATAGATAACACAATATTACAGCAACATTTACTCATGAAATATGTTACTACATGTATTCTGTAAAAGGGCTATATGTGATTCACCTGCTTTAGTTTACCTTCACAGAAGGAAAATCAATCGTTCATTATTCTCTGTGCACCCCAGGAGTGACCGTACAGAAGACACGGCGCTGTGCCCTCGCTGTGAGAAGCGGCGTGTGGAGAGGAAGGAGGCGATCCAGGAGCTGGTGCAGACAGAGCTGAGCTACGGAGCAGACCTCCGCGTTATCAAGGAGGAGTTCTATGAACCGATAGAGAAGGCCGGGCTGCTGACTCCACAGCAGCTACAGACTATCTTCATCAACATTCTGGTATGTACAAGTCTTTGTTTGTTCTTCAGCTACATGCATCAAGTTAACGTTTTGGTTCTCAGATTAAAAAAGATGATACTAGAATTGAAAGATCAGCATGAAACAGGTCTGAGAGAAAATTCTGTAATTGATGTAAAAAGTGGATACTGTCAGATGTAAGTTCCCCCTAGCTGCCCATTTTCTGACTATCCTCTAGCTGAATTTTTACTTCAACATGTCCAAGAACATAAACAGCATTGGTGTGGTCTTATGAATGTATCATTGAAACAAATGGTATTCCTACTACTTTTGCCACACATATAAACAAACAGTATTGTTTTTCTTCTGCCTTGCAGGAACTGATTGAGGTGAATGACAGGTTTGCAGACAAGCTGCAGGATGCCATAGAGCATGCTCAGGAGCAGGGGGATGAGGACTACATCTCTGTCCACATCGGGCGCATTTTCCTGCAGGCAGCCAACATGCTCATGGCCTTCGAGACATACTGCACCAAACAGGTCAGGACACTACTTTCTTTCTTTCTTTATTTCAGGCATGACTCACCCATATAGGTAACATACAGATAAAATACACATGTTAACAATAGTTTAAAATATGTCTAAGTACAGACGGGCTCAGATATTGTGGAAGAATCTGTTGCGGAATATTACATCAGATTTGAGAACAGATTGGATAATGACTACTCTTAGACTAAACATTTCATCTCAACTCTACATTCAAAGAAATCTCTATCAGGAACAGTTTCATCCATGGGATAGATAGGGTTGTAATCATCCACACACAAAAAAACTGTAAATGAGATGAAGACAATTTTTAGACAGTCCAAAAGAACGTTGTGAACAAGGTAAGACAAGTTAAAGCTAAATGAAGTTGTGTTTTCCCAGCCTGCTGCCCCTGCCATGCTGAAGACCCTGGAGAGTGAGAAGGACCTGTTCAGGATTTTCCTGGAGGTTTCCCAGACTGACAACTCTGCCCTGCGCAGGATGCACCTCTCTTCCTTCCTCATGGCTCCACTACAGAGGATAACCAAGTCAGTTCTGCAGGGGTTTATTCTTTTGTTCTGCAATCTCTGAACAGATAATTACAGGATTTTCAACACAAAAAAGTTTTGTTATACCTACATATATTTGGAGACATGTAGCATTATTGAAATATCTTAGAGTTAGAGAAGTTTGATTTCTGACCTTGGTGCTGAAGTGTCTTCTTCTTAACTACATTCTTATATAGAAGTAGAACTGGATGATCCTTCCTTCATGAGCACTTTCCTTGGTGCTGAAGCATCTTCCCTTGACCTGATTGCTTGACTAATCTCTTATTTTTTATCATTTCCATTCCATTTCATGTTACTAATAGGAGATTATTCATTATTGGCAGAAAAAAACAGTGGAAAGTAGTGATAAATTAGGGTTTTGAACAAAAATGCGACACCACAGGGAAAGTAAATGATGTTTCCTTCCTGTTGTATTGTCCAGATACCCCCTGCTGCTGAGCCGGCTGTACAAGTCTACCTCCTGCCGCCACCCTGACAGGGACAGACTACTGGAGGCACAACAGCTGGTGGAGGAACATCTGGAACACATCAATATTGTATGCAGCTTTTCATACTGTAGTAGTACTGTTAAAGTAGTAGACTGAATTTGTGACAAAATTTGTGAATGTCAGGAAAAATACTAAGGATTCAAGAAGGATTGCTAGGATCTACCAGTTGTAAGGTCTCCTACGTAAGGTTGAACCTTTATTTCATGTTTGTCAATCTGGCCCTAATTTTTCCCCCAGACCATTGACCACAATGACTTTTTCTCATGCCACAAAGTAATTACCTCTGGCATTTTCCAACCCCCTCCACCCATATGATACGAAAACTCAAAAGCGCCGCTGAAAATACCCACTTTGATCTGGACAGCTCACATGCCATGATGTATTTATGGTGACGTTGATTGATAAATAACCCACTTTCAGGTGACACATTTGGTCCGTAGTGACCAATTTTAAACCTTTGTTACCTTCCACCCCACTGTTTCATTCTCTTAATGAGTTTGGAGTAATATCTACTTTCACAAAGAGGTCAAAGTTATAAATCATGTCCTTGTCAATGAAAGCTAGTTAGCCTTCTTTAAGTTTAGATAGGCAGGTATTTGATATTAGGTTTATGTTTAAATGTTTCCTGTATGAGTTTGAAGGAGTAAAACAGTCTGAACAACATGATAATCACTATAATTTACAGGGATTTTGTTGTCAAACATACGTTTTGGAGACGTAAAAAGGGACCATTGAAATTATGTGACTACCACAGCTTGCAAAAACTCATAAAAGAAGAAAGAATGTAAGATGTCATGCCATGTAATGATAATTCATTGAACAGTAAATAATCATCACAAGATAAGTGTGAGGTTAGAAATTCTCTTAATTACTAAGTGAGACAGACACCCTAAATGTCTTAAACTGAATTCAGATCTGATTCCAGTTTTTCTTTCCTATTTCTGACCTGTAGAAAACCCAGGGCTCAGGTGGACTGATGAGGCTGAAGAAGAAAAGCAGCAGGACTAAGAGCACCAGTAGTGTGGAGAACATCGAGCTCAGAGAGGTAAGGAACAATGATTTATACATTGCGTCCCCGTGTATATGTGACCACATTAGTGTGTTACTGATATTCATGGCTAGCCTCCCATCGTCTTAGCACAAATTACCATAACACAGAACCTCACTCTATTATAGAATTATGAAGTTGATAGAGTAATTGACTAGTTTTCTGAAGTAATGGTGTAAGTATGAGAAAAAAAAACAAGTATGAGAAGAAAACATCATGTTGTGATTTCCCCCAGATGGCCCTGGATGCTGTGAGCTGGAACAAGGACGAGGTCCACTTTATCCAGATGGGGAAACTGCAGGTGGTGCAGTGTGGGGACACCTGGGCCAGGAAAACTAAAGTCTGCTCAGTACATGCACTTCTACTGGTGCTGGGACAGGTGGGGAACAAATAATAACTTCAAGTTGAAATGCAGGACTCCAATTTGTGCATTGGCGTAAAGCTGCAAGTTTGTAGCCTCTACCAGGCTTCAGGAGGCAGCTGGTTAGAGTAGAAATCGGCCAAATAGAGAGATAACATGTCAAGAGAGTTTGTCTGCGGGGAGAAAACATTTTGCCGCACCCAATTTCTACTCTTTCCAGTCGCCTCCCGAAGCCTGGTAGAGGCTAGCAAGTTTAAGCATGTCCCTTTCCTTGGTGCTGAAACATCTTTACCTGACCTTATTCCTTGAGTAAACTCTTATTTTGGATTGTTTTTTTTTTAAGTTTTTGGGATCCAAAGAACATCTTTGAAGGAAATGCACATGTGTGTCAAGTACATAATATTAATGAAGTTGTCCATGTTGCAGATGCCTAACCTGCAGGCCCTTGAGGAGAAACGCCAGCCGTGCAGAGACAAACCTGTGAAGGGAGCAGCCCTGGTACTCATCAGGGACAAGGGTGCTGGCAGGTTCACAACACTCAGGGTAGGGGTGGTCATTTGGACATTGATGTTGAAATTGTGCACGGTAACAACCTCCAACTAGATGACGGGTTATTTTGTTTGTCTGTAAACAAGAGAGGGGATCTTCCAATTGGATTTATGTGAACAGTTGATTGTGGTGATAGATGCTCTTTGGTGTTTTGAGCAAATAACTAGATTTCAGGTATCAGATTCTAGATCCAGGGAAAGTGTTACTGTAACAGTCTATATATTTGAATTTTCTTCTTTCCTTTTTTGATAGAAGTTGCACTTCATCTTTCTTTTGTTAATATTGCGTAATACATTCTGTGAAACAGCACTAACATTATTTTATGTTTTTCAGGATCCGTTCTTTCTGGACAAGTGTGTTGTGTCTATGGATCCAGATTCTGAGGAAGCCTTTGAGATCTCAGAGATCTACAAAGATCCTTACATTCTAAAGGGCGAGGATCCTTCTGACACCTCAAGGTGGTTGTCTCTTCTCCAGGGTCTCTCCAGAGACCTGGGAAACTGGAGAAGAAGGAGGAACGCTCTTGCAAACATCATGATCCACATGGTGTCCAGAACTTGAGGGATCAAAAGTGCCACCTACCAGTTTGGTTCAAAACTGCTCTTCAATAAACGCTGGTTGTTGCATTGGGAGGAGGCAAAGCGAGCCCAAAACAGCTATCAGGATTTTGAAGGAATGTGGATCGCTGGGCTGAAAGCACCCCCTATTGATGTATAAATGAGTTGCAGTGAAGAACAAAGGCCAGTTCTATCAGTTATGAGCGCTCCTGGCAGATCTGCAGGGCATTGCAAGTGCAAAGCGCCGATCTGCAGACGCTTTCAAGTAAAGGCAGCATGGTGGATGAAAACACCTTATAGTGTATAAATTATATGAGGAGAAAAATTGTACAGAAGAGCATGCAACAGCCCTTGGATAGGATATGTGTATGAACATATCTTGTTTGCAACAGCTCTCCAAGAAGAAAGCAGAATCATAGTGCCTTTTTGTCAAATGACCACAAAGAAGTTGGTTAAATAAACTCGAGGCAGGACCTCTGAGATAGCGAGGATTCATAACTGCAAAAAAAATGAAACAAAAGCAAGCACTTAAATTTTGCGGCAAGGTGAAAATTGAGTTTGCTGTTGAGACAACTGTTATAACCTAACACCATGCAAGACAGAGCACATATGTGTCTTGTGACAAGTTTGCAGCGACAGCTCACAGAAAAATAAATGCGAACATAAAACTGCCACAGGCGTTTCACAATTTACAGTAAAACCAGCACTGTGTTGCTGCTTTTGCAGTTTTTGCAATATACTAGTGTGCGGTGGTGCAATTGGCTATATAAGTTTGCCTTAGGTTGATTACTTGCTCTTAAACTTCACATTGCACTATGAATCTTGTTTGCATGAGCACTGCTATATATTTAAGATAAGTTTAAAAAGGGGGAAAAATGTTCACACCTCCGTCCATGTTGTAATGTAAGAATAGTCTAAAACTTTTAAATCACCTTAATTGCAAAAGTAGATGATATTTTTGTACCAAACAAATTATACACATGACTTTATTGTCTTTGGCTGTAAAAAACCTGTACAGACAATGAAATTTTTATAGTCGAGTAATGTGCCAAAATTTGCATAAAACACAATTTAGTACAAATTTCTGGTAAGATGATACAGATTATGAACATCTGAAGTGTTTTAGGATTCAAATTATCAAAGGACCATACATATTTATTTCGTTGTAATATAATATAAATTGAATTATCATATATAGAAATGTTTCAAATTAAACTAAATGTATTAAGACAAACCAACCCTCGTTTGCAGATTATTCTTTTGTTTTACTCCTAAAATAAGTTCTAAGTCAAACATTATAAGTTATGATGGTAGTCTTTTCTTCCTTGGTTCTTTTTCACCGTACAAGAAAGTTATTTTGTTAAAAGAGTCCAGCCGATAAACACATGTCATATACACGGAGAAAGGTACACATTAAGATATATTATAACAGAGGAGAGGTTATCAATCACATTAAGTCCATAAACGAAACAAGAAATGCATTACATTGCACGTGGTTTACAGTAGCGTGGGTTCAGTTCCCCTATAATCAAATCTCTTTAAACATCCACAAAGTACTTCTGTTTCGATAGAGCATTAATGATACAGTAGATCCATTCTTGCCAATTTTAGGGGAAACAAAAACTATAAAGACAGTGGTAATTCCAGTGGTATACTACAATATGTAGCACTGAAATACAAAAAAACGTTGAGTTGTAGTGCCGGATTACGCTTTCTGTAAATATAGAACTGTTACATGTATATATAGAGCTGTTCCTTAACTATATATTTGAATACATATCTTATACAGGTGATAAACCATGACCCTTTTCTCGCCTTGATTTTGATGGTCGGTAGAGATACTCGAGTAACTCGTGAGTTTTTCTATCTAAAGCTTAATGGTTACATACTGGTATCCACATCCACCCTCGGAGCCGGCTGTAAAGTTGATATGTAAGACAAACTCACAAACTACCGTTTGGCCGTGGAAAGAGGTGCGAATTTTATGACTTTCTGAAACCTTTGGAGAAATTGCAGGGCTTTCCGAGGCTAGTAAATGACGTTTTATCGCAGCGGCTGTTTTTACGGGCGCGCCCGGCTCTGCCAATGACTGCTCTCCGTTGCCCGTCCGACCGCTAGCCGTTCTCAGTGTTGAATTAACCGGGGCGTGTTCGTGAGTGCCCACAGTGGTTGTGAGGACGGGTTGTTAACCCTTTGTTTTTCCCCGGGGCGGCCGGCTACTCCGAGGGGTTAGATGTTAATGGACGCCGGTAGAAACGGTGGCGACCTGGCGCGGAATTATACCGGTGGGGACGTGCATGGAAATGTATCTCCATCAACTTACATTACAGGAAACAGCCATCCTCCCAATGGTGGTACAAGGGAGGACGGGCGCTATGTACATTATGTATACAGCAGAGACATGTTCGTGGTGTCAGCAAAATTATCTGCTTTCCTCAAGTATAATGAACCCTACCTTGCAATATTCCGTTCTATAAACTGCAAGCACGCACAAATATATTCGTCTCACAACTGTACATGTTTGTCGTAACGCACAACACCCCCCCCCAATATCTATCTTACTTGCTTGCCTCAGACAAATAGGGGTTGGTCCCATTCCTTATATACTTAGGAGACCTTTAAAGGGTGTTCTAGAAAGGAAATGGAGACGAGACGTCAAAAGTGGACCTGGATTCTTATCAACAGCCGTCTTGCCCCCTATTTTTTTCTTGTAAGAACCTTACGCAGGTTACTTAACAAGGTTCCCAAAGGTAACTGGATGTCTTATTATTAATAGAAATGTTAGTAAAGCGCAAGAACTCTCCAAAGCCTGTAACCCTACGTTGGCTTCTACAGAGGTCAAAAAGACTTAAAAAAAACTGAGTAAGGGGCAAGAAAACCTGGTTACCAAGTGACGTCTGGTCTTTTTTCACATAGATTTGCTTCAGTTTCCATTTTAGCTATGCGTCCGAATAAGCTGGAAAGAAACTGGTAGGTTGCTAGTAAATGTCAGACTCTACTGCAGGATATTGAAGGTGTACCCTTTCGCCCTGTCCCTGGTGCTGAAACTGATGTTACCGATTGTGTAGCATGAGTCCAGATGTAGGGATGATATGTGATACTGTCGTGCACAAGGAAATGTCAAAATATGTTATCTCTGATTGGTTGAGTGGGAGGAATGGAAAGGATTGCACAGTAAATTGTTTTAGAAATGTTTCCAGAAGAAAGTTAACAAAAGTACAGAATCACAATGAATCTTAACGTAACCTAAGGAACATACAGCTTTTTTCGCGCTATAGCCAAGCCCCCCTAGCGCCATTGATCGCTCTATATATCAGGGAAGAAATGAGTCGTAACATTTTATGTTCAATTTTCGTTTTTCACGCCGTGTTTTCCGTGATGCGATTCGCTTTTATGACATCTTCGTGCTTGGGGAACAACAATGCATAACCGTACACTCTTTGACTTGCCGATCATTATACTAGTATTTCTTTTATTTATCACATCTTATTAGGCAGTTGACGAGAAATTGATTGTTCTATTCAACTATATTCTCTGCTGTATACGTTATATGGTTACCAACAAGTGGGCATCTAAGTTGTTAAAACCCTGTACAAATGAGGCCCTAGTTTTCGCGTGTTTTAACTATCTTGTATCGAGATGGGTTTAACAATTTGACAAACGTGGTTAAAATCTAAACCAGGAAAGGAAAAGCAGAAATCTGAAAGCACAATACGATCAAGCACTTATTCTGCTTGAGCGTATTGCATTTTACCATCGGCATTAATATTGCCCCCTCCCTCTCTCATACCATTAAGGATTTTAAACATTACACGTCACTGACGAAAAGTGGTAGATACTACATGTACTTCACGCGTCTTACCGTTTTAAAAATCTATCCAGTTGTTTGAGTAACTGTTTCTTATCTGGATGTTTAAACACTGCATCCTTTGTTGTGTTTGATAACAGTTTGGCACGGGACAAAAAGAGCTATATAGACTTTTCCATTATTTATCGAACTATTCTGTATCTGTATAGCCGGTGTAACCGCCCTTCGGCGTAATACACCAGCTTCGTAGGCACTTGGTGACAGCGAGTTTCACTCTGCAATAGTACTAGTATAGGAAAGATTGAGTTTTTGAATACCTCAATCTTTGGTTGATACCTCTGGTACTTGAATGCATGACTATTTCATGTTCTTTTCTGATCTGGTATTACGTACGTGTACAAGGTAGCCCGTAGCCAATGTCAGAATGTCTAACTTCCAGGAAATTCCGGCCTAAATCGTCTGTATTCCAGGATTCCCTCTCGCAGCTTCTCTTCCGCATCCGTGCGGAGATGATGGATGCTGAAGTTAGAGGATTTTTACGTCCTGACAAAACACTTGTCTTTTTCAATACATGAAGAGACCGGCGGGACCTCCCTAGCTCCCAGCTACTGTCATGTCTGATCCGCGGTTCGGGAGGGATGGAGCCGGTAGAACCGGGGAGGAGACATATTTCCTTAGGGGGACAGGATAGGAGAAAGGGCATGACGACGTAAACCATTCCAGCGCGCCGCAAATGATTCGTATCTAGCTATTTCAAAAGTTTTACAACACAGAAAGCTAGAAGCAAGACAAGGAAGCTGAAATGACAACAAGAAGTGGTTGCCTGAATGTCTTGTGCTGTCTTGTGATGATGCAGCCTATCTTTGTAGATTCGTATCTATATATTTCAAAAGTTTGATAATACAGGAAGCCACAAGGAAGTCGAAAGGCCATCAAGAAAAGGTTGTCTGGTTGTCTTATAGCCTGGTTACTAAACCTCTTTTAGCTGCCGAATCTCCTTCCTCGCAAAATACGTTTGCTAATCAGCCTCATTATCTTGTTGTATTATAATGATGCAGCATATCTTAGTAGTCATGCCGGTACAACGTGTTAACACTTTCCTGATTTGTATCACTTTTAAAGTTAGTGTTTTGTAGAATCTACAAGAAGTTGCTTTCTAACTTTTTTGCCCTATATGTATCTGTGCTGTCACACGTAGGCAAAGCGTATGTCCATCTCCAAACCCTCTCACGGTGAAAAACAGGTTCAGACATTGAAACATCTGCGTCATCATTGACTGGCCTCTGTGATCTCATCAACTGGGTTGGCGCCATGGGATCGGGGCATTATGTAATCCTAGGGATATTAAATCGTATCTTTCTCTTCAGAAAGGGTCAAAGACACAGTAGTGATCCAGTTATACTTCCTTCTGGTGAAGAAAGAAAAAGGCAAAAATGAAATGGTAAATGGAGGACAGTAGCCTGTAGAATTCTGTCCAGTGGGAAAACGCATCACTTATAAGAAGCACAAAAAAATGTAAGAAGTATAGAAACAAACCGTAAATATGCAGGGGCGATTCGCCGAGAGGTCAACTCGATTACGCTTGTAGGATCGCACTAGATTGAGTCAGATACAGCTCTCACGGTGGTCTCTCCAAGACCCTCATGCCTAGTAATGGAACATGCAATCTACATGTACGTATCGCGCTGAAGCCATTCGCCCCTTTGGCGTGATGTTGTCTGTTGTAGCTTATAATTGGCTCCTTCTGGAAATAGTCAGAAAATGTATTAGTCCTGATACTAATCTATACTTATATGAATAGGAGCAGAAAGTACACCGACACTCGGATTGACTTTCCAATAATAATTTTAATCATAAGTAAGTCTAGAATGTCCCCAAAAAGTTCTAAATCCATTCGGTGTATAGAATATGTCGGAAAACATCTGCTATCTCCGCTGGAAATGTTGAAATGTTATTATCAAAAGCACACTGAGAGAGGATTCAACATATCTTTACGTGCATTCTAGCCTCGGGCGTCTTTCAAAAACAAGTCTCTTATGATGTTCACTCAGTAAAGCCACCACTAAGATGGTGCTTTTGAAGACGTACAAAAATGTCCCTAGAAATAAACTAATATATCCTGCTGCAACCACTTTACCAAACATCCATCCTTGACATGTCAGATAACACACTGTGCCTGGGGCATATGCCGGTCAGGGCTTAAACGGTGTTTAGCAGATGGCATTGCTGTTGACAACTGACATGGATTACTAAAGCCGCATTATGTAGCATTAGGATGATACAAAAAGTCAATGTTCCGGTCGTTTTCTTTACCAAGAAAGTTGAAAGAACCCTACTCTATTGCGAATACGTGTCATTCGGGAAGTTGAGGTGCCAAAATATTGCACCGCACGAGTGTGTTTAAAAGCTGGAAACACAGCTGCCAT